AAAGTGTGAGGCGGGCCTCGCTAGGGGGGGCTCCAAACAGTTTCAGGGGAGGCTCAGTGAATGGAAACAATATTACATTACTTATTGCATTAGTTCCAAAGGAGATCACATAGAATAGCCTACATGTGTGTGTTCAGAGATAAAGTAGTCAAATGTTGAGGGTCTATGGGATAAGATAATATAATCATGATCTCATCGACATCCAGGAATTGAGCGAAATTTACCAAGTAAATTAAAGATGGGGAGGGGGTCGCCATTTACCAAGCTTTGTCTGAGGAGAGGCCCGCAGTCTCTCTGCCATAGACTCTATATAAAAAGGTTAGTCCACAAAATGTAGCGGTTTGGTGTTTGTGTGAACAAGGTGGCCTGGGGTCGAGTCAAATTCCCGGTCTGAAGTCTTGTGCCCCTGCTCTGGACTAGTTATCCTCGGTATACTGTACTTCTGTTCATTTGCATATCCTATGTATGTTGTCATGTTCACTATTCACGTGTAAGATGACATTGTTGACTGTCTTCTTTAGTCTTCTTCGTTTGATTGGCCATGCCATAAACCAGGCCGCCAGTAACAACGAGTTTTGGTGGAGTGGGTACCACTGGTGTTGCAGGACATGCCATACAATGTACCAAATCCCCATACACAGTCAGTTCAAAAGGATTGGCTTTAAAAAAATAATAAAAAAATGGATCTCAAAGAGATACCATTCATGTGTGTCCCTCACCAAACTCCCCTTTTATTGTGAGTTTGGAATGAAGCATTTACATTTTGAATATCAATGACATTTGCTCTGTGGTTACAGTTGATAAGGCAATTTAGCATATATGCTAGACATGGCAACGGTTGTGTTTTTGGAAGTATGGTGTGGTTGATCTACTGCATATAGAAGTGCTGGCCTGTCAGACAATCTTCATCCATAATGGAACAGTGAAACCCCCCAGTGTGATGGCTACCAGCCCCCCCTCGCCTCTTCAAAGACATGTGAAGACGGCATGAATTATAAATATCCTTCGCCTCTTACACCAGTTTATGATGATTATTGTGGGAGTAAATTGAACACATATGGGTACTTGTGGTTAAACAACTTTTTCAAGGTACAAAAATTGTATATAAATACCAAAACCTCCATTTTGAAGGCTGATTACTAATATTTTTTGTGCTTAGGGGTAGGGTTAGGGTTAAAGCTTCCAATTGCCACAAACAATATCCAATATACCTGAATTAGAGCCCAGATAATTGCAATTCCATTATATATCTAACTAAAATAAAGGGACAATCCAATACATTACCATGTACCATGCATGTGTGAGAATTTCCAGGTTTTGAAAGTCTTTAAATCTAGATTGAGCCCACTAGAAATCAGGATATTATCTGGTAATCTGATCAAAAAAATTTCATTACAATCATTTCCATCCATCAAATTCCAAACGGACAGCAATAAATGGCTGATATTGGAAACTCAACAGTATGTATCGTTTGAAACTGAGAAACACTTTTCATTAAGGATTCAAAGCCAAAGAAAGTGAAGTGTATGTCTTCTCTTTTCAGCTTGAGGATCAAAAAGGTTTACTGAGTATTTCATGGCTCAACATGGAGCAACAGAGTTCTGTCAGCCTGCAGTCATCACAGTGAGTGGTAATGCAGTGGCAAATCCTTATGTGTAATCCACAAGCACCTTTCCATTTGTTAACTCTGATGCAGTATCCAGATTTGATCTGTTTTTAAGGCTGGACCAGTTGATAATATCAGATTAGACAAATAAGTGTCCGCAAGCATGATGGAGAGTTGGAACTCATTGTGGGTCTCATGTTTAGCATTCCACTTTCTCCATGTCTGCCATTGCCAGAAACTAAAAGCTTTACTGAAAAATAGCGCCTTCCACCTGTGTTGTGCTTTTGAGCAATTCCTTAACAATGTAAAAAAAAGATTTAAGGAAGCAGGTTATCAGTCCTCACAGAGATGCTCCAATTTTTCATGTTAATATGTCAACTTTACAACCCCAGTAACGGTCTCAGTATGATTCAAACAAAGTGCTGTTCGGATTGACAACCTGAAAATCATGCTTACTTGTACGTAGTGATTGGCCAGGTGTGCAAAGGTGTGAAAGCAGGTCTTGAACTTCTCTCTCAAGCTCTATTTTTTCAATCTTCACAAAACTTATTGTAACTTTTCGTGCGCAACACCAAGATCGCTTTCGACAACGCATTGTCCAAAAGTGTGGGTCAATTGGGCGACGACTACAAAGACACGCAAAAGCTAGAGAGTTCTTGGAGAGAGAGCATGGAGGCAATGGGATGCAGCCACAAGAAGGCTATGACTTCAGGATTTTTTGCCCAGGAACTCCTATAAATGCACTGATAATTTATTTTCCAAAGTGGAGGTTGGTAGTAGCACACACACTTGAACAGATGCATAGCGGGGCATCAGAATTTTAAGTGTCCAGATCTGGACCTCTGAATGCAGTATTCACCTCACCTAAGAATTACCTGCACTGTCAACAGCATCAGTTATTGATCAGAGCGAACACTGAAGCTTCTATTACCTAGAGAGAAACAAGAAATAAAGAAACTAAAAGAAAGAATACCTGTTTCAAACATGCAGTTCATCTCCCTACAGGTACATTTTCTCATATTTTTACTTGGGTACTTCAAAGACCAGCAACTGCCTGGTAAAGCCTCAGGGGGACCCTGAGTTGCCACTCCCTTTTTCCCTCTCTCCCTTCACATAGAGACCCATTCTCATTACACATGTGAGGGGGGGTGTTTGGAGCTATTTTTTATCTATTATCAACCATGTTATAGTCCAAGAACTTGGGCCGATCGTTGCGAGTAACAGGCAACAATGTGGGAAAAACATAGCAATGGCACAACGTGTGGTTATAGTTATGATTAGAAGGCACAAGCTGCTTAATTTGACACTTGATAGTGCATGAAGCAGTCTGGAGTTTTTTCTGAAATAAGTGCTTTATATAATATAGTTCCTACTGACTGACCTCTTTTGTTTCAGGTTTTTCAACAAGCCTTTGTACCTTCCCAAGACCTATACAAGCTTTTTCCAAAAACACCTCACATGACTAGTATGGTTTCTGCATCTATACATTGTATGGTTGTAATCTGAAGAGGTTTAGGTAGCTCTTGGTTATGGTTTGAAAGAAACCAACCTGGTTCAAACAGCTAAAATCAGCTCTGACCTTCTTATTCCCTTTTTGTGACGCTATGACAATGCCATGCTATTTCGTCTCATGTCAGGAAATGTATATCTTTTGAGAAAATAATTTGAAGTCCATTAGCTTTTTCTGGATCTCTAGACCGTCACTCAACAAATGAAGTTTGTTCATTTGTCATCGAATGACCAACTTACTGGTTGTTTTTGGCGTCAGATGTGAATGTCATCCTTGATCATTCTGGGGCCATCGTGACACACTAAAACTCCATCCTAGTGAGTCTTAAAGGTGGTTTAGCACAGTGAAGCACGTTTTACCAGCTCACACATCTGAATGATTTCTCTGGTCCTTTCTCAGGGCAGAAGTGAATGACACTTACTGGCTGATACCCTGTTGTTTGGGTTGAATCCACCTAGGCCACTGACAGTTATAGTTGCTCAGCTGTGAAGACACAGATTGTGTGCTTTGCCTATTGACACAAGACAAGCCTCTATAGACCACCGCTGGTCTGAAAGGGCCTCAGTTCATTAACTCAGCTGCCCTGAAAAACTTTTCTCTGTGCTGTTAACTTTTCCCCTGTGTGAAACCTGGCATCTTGATCTACGCCACCTGACAGAGCAAGACAGCAAACCCATTCATCTTCCCCCCATCTTCCTTGTTTGATCATATAGCCCCGGGACTTCCAAGCCTATACGTCAATGGATTGTGGCTGTCCACACACTAGCGCAAGCTGACAGCTACAAGGAACTGAGGTGCACCCCCTCACATAATTCCTACCTCTACGGTCAGAGAGCCATGTAGGTCTTCTTGCAAACATGCTAATTTCATGGTAATTTCTACTTTTTGGACAATGATGCCAACAGGCAACCAGCCAGCTTTTTCAGTCTCTGCCAATTTAGGTTCAATTCAGATTAAATTCAACCACTTGCTGTGTTTTTTCTTTCTCAAGTGAGCTGTCCAGCGGTGAATCGGCAGCATTATTCATACGCTGCAACAATTAAAACATCAACAGAGGAAGGAGAAAAATATGTACATTATTCATATCTGCCCTCCAGGGAGACAGGCAGTCAGAGCTAATGAGAGGCTGAAGCTTTGAAGTCATGAAGCCCTCAATGAGGTGAATGGCATGAATTAAGTACAACCATCAGACACATTTTGCTCTGTGCGAATGCCTTCTAGATGGCTAATCTTAGCCAGTGTTATGAGCCCTGTTTTGTCTATTTTCAAAATTTTATTAGGACATTTGAAATTAATTAAGTTTCCTCCCCATCCTTATCTACGAGAAGGTCATGCTCAGCTACATACCAGCACCCCAGGAGCTGGTAGGGAGTGGATGCAGAATAAAGAGGAAATTAATATTCCATGAGAATACATACGAGCACAAGATACGCTTGTTGTGAAGTGGAGCGGAATGGATGCATTGCTCTTTCCGTTGCTCAAAAGCGAGAGAAGTGTGAAGTGTTTTTGGCAAGAGGCAGCTTTGCTAAATAGTATAAGCTCTGCCAGCCAGACTTGACCCCTTTCCCTGGCACTGCCGGTCCCGCCATCCTGCCCTGTGCCATGCTGATATACTATCTGCCCAAACAGATGCCCGCTCTGGCCTTGCAGTGCCACTCTCCGGTCCCCCACTTTACTCGTTGCTGCCTGCTGATGTTTTGTCCGCCCCGGCGCTGTGTATCACTCTTGTCTCCTTGAAGAAGCACATACAGCGGAGAGATAACTGAGACCTGCACTGACCTTGCTGTTAAAGCGAAGCTGCTTGCTGAGGAAAGATCTGCATGAGTCCAGACATGACATAAAGACATCCAGCAAGAGCAAACACGGTGTAAACGTTTGGCCTACCTCCACAGCGAGCTCTCCAGCACCTTGGTGGAGTCAGCGTGGTAGTACTTGGTCAGGATCAGGATGACCTGCAAGACAAGGTAGAGGAGAGAGATACATTTAGACATAAGCCACTAATGAAGAAAAGGACTGGTTAACGCAGTAGGGGGTGCGTAGAGCCGTTGCAGGGAGGGGGCATGGGTGACAAGGAAAAACACTTAAATGAATATGGTATGACAATAAACAGTATGACAGAGTGCTCTGATGTTAGCTAGGCTATCTTGCTAACCTGTTAACTTAAGTTAAGAGCACCGCGGCTTGGCCTAGTTTTCCCCATATTGTTAAAGATTGATGAACATTAAATCAGTTTACCTGAGGGGTTTGGCTTCTTAAGAGGGGGTGAGAGAAAAAGTGGGAGAACCACTGGGTTAGTAAAATCAGGGCTGTAGCCAGGATTTTTAAATTACTGAGGTCATGTCCATGCAGCAACACAGAAATTAACTTTGATGAGACATGAAAAAGTCAGATATATCTCTTAATTTTGAACTCAGCTCAGTTATATTTATTGTTGTAAATCTTTCATTCATTGTATTTCCCAAAGTTTCCCTACAATATTCTGATGTATGATTTTCTCCATATAGGAACTTCTATGTACATCCTTGAAGGTTAAGTAAAATGTGAGTGTCTGACTACCGAATTCTACATTCAACATTTTACTGACAAAGCCACAGAGAATTATGACCCAACTCTGCAGTTCCCCTCAGCTCTATACAGCTAGCTTTTTTTTAAATGTTGGTGTGTCTACTTCATGTCTAAATAAGGAGCTGTAAGTGGTGGCGGGGACGAACAAAAATGCCATTCCAGGAGTAAAAGTTTGGAGGATATAACAATATAATCTATTGTGCTTAAACACAAATCCAGCTACTGCCCATGCAGCCAATGGGAAGGCGTGACATTGCAGGGTCCCTGGAATTATGCCGCGTTCGAGACCAGTCCTAACTGGGATTTTTGGTGCATGACGCCGAAAGTGAACGAAAACCATGGCTGACCGTGGCAAAGTGTACACACAGTTGCACCATCAGCAGTGTTTTAGTTGTTAATTAAAAGGATGGCAGTTTAACTGTAAAAACTGATATAAATAACCTATACGTTACTCGTTAATGTATTATTTTAATTTAAATACATACAAATATACTTTTTGGTACAGATTTTTTCAAGTAGGAAATCCGACTTCAAGTGGAGTTCCAGGATAGTTTTTGTAGTTGGAGATCGGAAATTTCTGAGTTCCAAGTTGCCTGGAACGCAGCACTAGTCCCCAAAGTAGTGTTTTTGTGTCAGCTTTTGTGCCAGCTACAGGTATGCTAGAAGCTGCAGTGATGCTTACGTCCTGCGTCACTTATGCATTAAAATCCAAAAGGAAGCAGTAAACTCACTATTGACGGGCCCTGTGATTTGCAAATGTTACACCGTGAACAACAAATCCGTGTTGTCCTACACACACACACACACACACACACACACACACACACAAAAGCAAAGTCAGCGGTCAGCAGAGCAGAGAGGCAGCATTGGAGAAGTGAACCAAGTGAAGATGACTACATATTACTGAGTTGACGACAACTACGCTCGTTACTGTGAGTAAGTGCAATAAAACCGTCGCAAGTTAAAAGTCAACACTTAATTAATATTTCGGTTAAACAAGCATAAACATGTAAATATGTACAAAGAATATCCAGTATACAGTATAGAGTATATAGTGACCTTGCTGTTGTAAACATTATGTTGCTTATTTGGTCATTTTTTAAATATTCAATGCTAATCCTGTTTGGAAGTTATTCCAGTTAATGTAACATTAATCTTGATTATGTGACGATTAATGTGTTAATTGTTGGAGAGAAGAGGAGAGGAGACAGCAAGAGAGCAGCAGAGCAGAGAATAGTATGAGAACATGTTTTTGGAAGCTGAATAATCAGCATCAAGAAAATAATAAGCAGATCTTTGTAATTTTGAGTAACTTTAGCAGCAGATTTTAATCTCTCATGATTCATAATTTATCATTTTGGTTCTCATGAACCATGTTGCGATTTGAATATGAAATCTTTATTTTATAGCATGAGTATGTTTTGGGTTAGTGGACAGATACAACATTATAAAATATTTCACAAAAAATCTAATAAAAATAACATTCAGGGATGCATCATTCATATGAGTAAGACATCTTGGTCAAGGACAATGGACAAACCCCATGCGTGTAACCTGGATCAGACTCCTGTCTTTCATATTTCTGAGATCTCCTGTTCTTGACAGCCAGGTCTGCTGGGATTTACGTTGCCATGGCAAGAGCCAGTGGGTCAGGCAGCACAGTGGCGGCCTAGTGGTGTGATTGACAGGCGAACTTGCAGTTCTAGGTAGTGGAGAGAGAAAAATGCCCAGGTCTGCCTTCAGGCAGAGGGGAGTTGATTGGCCGAGGGGTCCAACCCAGAGGCAGCTGCCAACAGCAGGCTGTGTTGAAGGTGGCTGCTCCCAAGGAGTCAAGCTGCAAGCTCTGTGCAATATGGAAACTCCTGATACATCTTAATGTGAAAAGCAAGACAGCCTGCGTCACCATATTCTCTGTGGTGATAGTACACGATTATGGCTCTTATTTTTAGGCTGCATGTTCCCTTAATTTTATGGTGCACAAGGATTTTACAGTCTGGAAAATGAGCTAATAAGTTAAGGGGGTAAATATCTGGTCGATTTCTTTGTCAGATAGGATGAAAGCTGTGCTGTCTTACTCAGCTGACTTAATAAGATACCTGGCTGCAGGTCCATTTTCTCCATATATGTTTTCCCTCTTCTCAGAACATTTTACCTTATAAAACCTACCCTCTGGGATAAAATAGAGCCTTCATATTGCCCTCTTGTGTCAGGGCATGCCCACACAGCCTGTAGCGGCCAGATGCAGTTACTGTTCAAAAAGGAACCCTATGCAATTTTTATAGGATCTTCCACTGAGGCGGGGCTGGTCTTTAACCGTGGCTTAAAAGAGTTTTTTTCCTCACAAAGCTAAGAGTTGGTTAAAGTGGAGTACCACAGCTGTTGCATACATACGGAATGAGCTTTGAGAGCTCTAGACCAATGTCCGCAACACAGACTGCCATGAAAGCCACTCAGTGTCTAGGTGTCTCAAACCCAAACTAAGAAGTTCCAACCCTGGTGGAGCTTGGCTTCCAAAGATATTTATAGGGTCCAGAAAACCGGAACAGAGGACATTTCCCTGTGCAGCAACCTACTTGTCAGGGATGACAACAAACTCGGTAAGAGCTTTAAAGGATGCAGAGATAGCGTACAACCTGCTTTTTATCTGCTTCTAGCCGAGGAATTAGACGGCATCCATATCTGAATTTGCAAACGAGCTGCCGCGTGAGGCTCTCTGAGTGATGCAGCATGTAGCAAGTGTTCCCATGATTGGTCGCTGGCCTACTGTGACTCAACTGGTGTCTCTGGCAACAGGCTGTCCGCCTCTGCACAGCTGTCCTTATACTAATGAGATACTGGTGAAAAGCTTGACACTCTTACAATGCATGCAGAAAGGCAAAGTAACAGCACTGGTACCTTGACATAAGGATCAGATCTACCTTCGTACTTGTGACTCACCAAGCCAATCTTGGTTTTTCTTTTCCTTCAGCTGTAAGTCTCCAGTTTAAAATTCAAGCCATAGTTTTTAAACTATGTCACCATGAACTCGTGAAGTTTTTTTGATTAGGAAAAAATGTCTATTTACACATCCAACAGATACAGAGCAACATTAGCATTATTTTAGGCATCTTCCTTTTCTGATTATACCAATTTTTATTTTTAATCTTTAATATTTTTGGAGGTGCTTGGGATGCACATTTTGAATTTTTGGCCATTTACCGGCTCTGTACTTTACTGAACTCCTTGAGAACCAGGTTGACTTTGAATTTGGACAGTGAAATCTAAAGACCTTAGTAATGTTAAGCTTTGCAAAGCTTTTGAGTTTCCTTTAAATGGAGTGTCTGTGGCGTGGCATCGAATTTTCATGTTTCGGAATTAGTAACTGTGCTACCTCTGCTCCACATCCTCAGATGTATTTAAAATTTTACATGTTTGATAAGAGGACATTGTGCCACCTAAGTAGGATCTGAGCCACACCATGTCCTCTCCACACAAACACACAAGAGGACAACAGCAGTCACAGAGCGAGCAGGAACAAACTAATACACAGAGGAAGAGAGCTGACAAACTAGGGAGAGAGGGAGAGAAGGGGAGAAGCTGAATCTCCTGGAGGATGAAGATTCAGATCAGCAACTGGATTTAACACCCTCGTGCAGTCTCCAATATTTATGAAAATTCAGAGCATCATCGACCGAACTCCGAGGGACAGGCTCCCAAAAAAAAGCACAGAGTAGCTTGGCTGATAACACATCATTCTCTGCTCAGGATGCACTGCACTATATCATAATATAGCAAATAGTTATTTGCTGCTATGCTAATGTTCAGTCTCATATACAGAACCTTTAGAGCTGATTATGATTAGAAGTAATGATTATTTTCATTAATCTGCTTATTATTTTCTTGATTAATCAAGTAATCATTTGGTTTATAAAAAGAAAGTTGTCTAAAATACTTTCCAGAACCCAAAGTGTTTTGATTGTCTCGTTTAAGAAACAGACCGAACTCCAAAGTGATTCAATGTGCTATTATGTAAAACAGAGTAAAGCAGGAAATCCCCCAGAGGAGAAGTTGGAATCAGGGAATGTTTTGAGTTTTTGGTTAAATGACAGATTATCAAAAACAGTTGCCGATTAATTTTCTGTCAGATTAATCAATCGAATACATCGTTTAGAGGACAGGGAGGGGAAGTACACTTACCTGACTTGAATTTTGACATGTTGGAGATATGAAGCAGAACAACTTGAAGATGTACAGTACACAAAGCACATTACTTGGTTGTCTGGCCTGTTGGTTACACATAAGCCCTGTCTATGGCCCTTTCTGTGTAATTTTAGCTTTCTCACATCAAATTGCACCCTCTGTCTTGTGCAGGAGAAGAAGAGGGGAAAAGAAAGTTTGCCTCTAAAGT